AATTTAATAAAAAAAAAAAAAAAAGAAAACACAGTGGATGCTGCTGCTGAGTACCATCCAACAAAAAGGCAGCCTCATAGAAATATTACAGTGTTTCCTCAACTACCTTATTCATCAAATCTAGAACCCTGCTACTTCTGGCTCATCCCCTAAGTCAAAAATGATCGTGAAAGACAAACATTTTAAATCAACACAGGACACTAAGTCTGCCAGGACAGCACAACTAAAGACATGAAAGAGGACTCCAGAACTGCTTCAGACAGATGCAAGAATGATGGGATAAGTGTGTTCAAAGCAAGGAGGTGTATTAAGGGTGATGATTCTGAATGTCTCTTTTACTGTAATAAATTTAAAATTTTTCACATTCACCATATTTTTCAATGGTACCTCATACATTTATCAAGTACCAGAAAGCGATGTGCTAAATTCCAGGTGTGCTAGAATAAATCACTTATGATCCCAGCCATTTCTCAGGTCACAGAAAAATGTCAGGGATAAGCAGATATAAACTGAGTATGTGATATTTTAAGCAAAAAAAAAAAAAAGAGAAGAGAAGGACAAAGTAGCCCAGCCCAGGGGTGGTTGTGAGGGCTTCCTATGGGAAAAGAGCTTTAACTTTACCCTTGCTAAAATCCTTCTGGGAATAGGCATTAATTTGTCCATGCTACAGATGAGTGAACCAAATCTCAGAAAAGTTAAAGGATATTCCAAGGTCCTTCAGCTGTTGAGTGGCAAAGCCAGGTGTCAATCATTCAAACCCACTTCGACACATTTCCTGTGAATTAAATTATTGAGGGAAGCTGGGCTTCCTACTCTACTTTTTTGTTCAAAAAGGGAAAAAAACCTGAATTTTTTTCTGCATCTCCACTTTTCTCCCTGCAAAATTTAGCAAAGTGCCACGTGCCCTAAAATCTACCACCATCTGCTGAGAGTCACAGAAGCCTAGGCTGAAAGGGACAACTGTTTACTGCTAAGGACCTTATTGGGGGGGTTAAAAACAATATTTCTGAATTCTCATTCAACCACTAAGATAGTCTATGACAATTAAGCAAGAAACTTGATCTCATAGGTTCTTATTACTTTTCTGTTTATAAAATGGAGTGATAGTTTTTACCTCCTAGATGTGCTATGACAATTTTATGTCACATCCTTAGTGTAGCACAAGTTATACTCCCTCAGTGACATTCACTGTTAACTTTGGCTAGAAATCCACCTCCTAATTCACACCATTCCCCTGGTCTGACCACACAAGCCATCTGCCCAGAAGTACTGTGTATATATTCTTTTGTGAAGTACTTAGTGTTTAACCAATGTCACAATGTGGAAATCTGACTCTCCTATCATTGTTCTTGCTTTCTTTAAAGACTGTAACATTTTGTGCTCCTTCAGCAGCACATATACTAAGATTGTAACATTCTGCTCCCAAGGAGAAAAAAGAACATAGATTGGTTGTATATGCTTTTTCTGGTTAAGCCAATGAACATCTCAAATTTCTCTCCCCTGAAACTGTCCAAATTTCACCTTTGTCCTTAAGAAGTTTTTGTTTATCCATCTTTCTTCAAGTATCAGACAGGAGTCCTTCACGTCCTCGGGTTACTGTGGTGATAAATGCAGGTGTCTGGTCACAACATTGTGTGTACTGTGCTCTTTATTTTCAAAGCACAGTCACATGCCAACCTTGTTGATCCTAAAACAACTGGGCGAGGCAGGGAGAGCAGATACCATCCTCACCCTGAAGATGAGGAAACCACAGCAGAGAGGAAGGCATAACAAAGACCACATTGCTAAGCATGACTGTATCCCAGGTCTTCTGTATCACCTGGAACTTTTTAGGAATACCCTCTGGTAGCTGCTACTACTTCAATTTGCAAGTGAAAAAGATGGGATTCAAAGAAGCAAACCACAAACTCAAGTTCCTCCAGATAGTGAATGGGGAGCTCAGACTCAAGTACAGCACTGTCTTACTCCGAAGTCAGTAAGTTCAATAACTGATCCACCCAAGATTTGCTGAAGCCATTAGTGACTAACGTGATGGTAAAATGTGAGACTGCTGATTCGTGATCAGGGCACCTTTCATTATACCATTCGCCCAGCTCTTCTTGATTGTTCAAGGTGCTGGAGCTTCACTCACCAATGACTAAGAGAGTCTCCACTTAAACAGAACTGCCTTGCATTCCTCATCTCCTATTCTTAGCTTCCTGTTCTCACCTTTCTGTAAGGTTCTAGGGGGTTCTTCAACATTTTAGAGCTGGATATAGAGAAAACTAGAAGAGAAAGTATACTGGAAGTTTCTTCCTTTTCCTTGGGTGTCCAATCTATGTGGCCAACGTACAATCTCACATCTGAGTTGCAAGGCAAAATCTTGAGTCTTGTGGGGGATTTCAACCATGTTCGCCCTCTCCTGGGAAGAATGAATTTAGGTTTCTATTTCAGCTGCTCCTCTCTCATTTTCTGTTTTAAAAGGAGATGATGGTGAAAAAGGAGATCCAGGAGAAGAGGGAAAAGATGGCAAAGTGGGACGCAGGGGGCCGAAAGGTAGGTAACCTGATAAACCCCATGGAAATGTTCTTGTCTCTCTCCTCGCCGTTGCCCTGGTAAGTAGCAATTCATAATGCTGTCTGCCCCAAGACACATGAAATGTAGTTCTGACTGAATTAACTCCCGCCTGAGAGCTCCCATGAGCTTGCCTCCCAACAAGGCTTAGTCTGATTTCTCAAGCTACATTCTTAGGAATGGCCAGAGGGGGCGCTCTCACAACCCCAGAGAGTTCAATAGGAATATCTAAGAAATGATGAGTTTTAAAAAATAGCTATTCTCCCCCTTGGAAGCCGTAATTAAATAACTTTCTTTGGCCTAGGGATTAAGGAGAAAGATTAGAAAGAATAGAAATAGCTTCCTGAGCTGTTGATAAAGTCACCTCCCCACGGGTATCTCTGCTGCTTTTACCGCCTCTCATAAAAACGAGTGACATAGTGGGACAAATGGAGGAATATAGGAAGGGTAGGAGTAGAGAAGATGAGAACAGCATGTTGGCTAGTGGGGAAGTTTTCACTAATAAAGCTAAGAGTAAACTTCGTTAAAACAGCTTCTGGTATAAGCTGTGTCTTCTGAACACTTGACTTGCTCCCTGCCAGTTGCGTCAAGATGGCTGCCCCAGACCACTTATTTTAAAATACTGAGTAATTTAAAAGTAACAAAAGACTCAAAGGCTCTTGAGGTCTCAATTTGAGGCATGCTGGTTTACACTCATTTTCTAGAAAGACGTATGTTACTTGCGAAGTTATTCTCATAAAAATAAAGCTTTATAAAGCTTTAAAAATACAAAATAAATACTAATTTTAGAAGAATTCATTTGTCCCTGATCATAAGTTTTAGCATGAAAAGCTCAAGACAATGTCTGATGTCTCTTTGATATCTAGGTTTCAGGATTACACATCCCTTCCCTCTTTTGAAGTGGCTAAGGTTATCAAATCTTGTTTTAAAAGAAAGAGGAAACTGAATCCCAAAGTAAAGCCAAAATGTACTCCTGAATAGAGTACAAGACTCCTTCCACTCTGTCTTTTGTTTAACTTTTAAATTAAACATACTCTGCTGTGGTCATTCTAGAAATAACTGCATCAATAAGTATTTTCATATTATCATGTTCAGGATTGTCATAATCACCCATGTTTTAATTTTAATATATAAATTTTAACTGTTAAAATGGATAACATAGGAAGTATGTTAGATATCACTGGAAGAATACATTTTTTGCTATTTTCTTCAAGTGAATATTACATTTGCTGCATTTTGAAAGGGAAAAAACTTATGATATAAAAATATCATGTTTTGCTTTTCAGGAATTAAAGGAGAATTGGGTGACATAGGACCCCAGGGCATTATTGGCAAGTCGGGGCCCTTTGGCAAGAAGGGTGAGCTGTATTTTACTATTTTTCCAATTGCAAATGAAACCAATTGAGCATGACCTTAATATATTTTTAAAATTTTATAGTATGAAAGTGATCCATTTCTGTCTTTTAAAAGACAAGTGCTCTGTGTCTTCACAACTTAGCTCTTACACAAGCAATATATCTCACAGTTCCTAAAGAGAAAGGCCTTGAGCAAAATTAAACAAGATTTCAGGATCAGAATCAAGAATAAGGTGCTGGTAATCTCTATATGGAAGTCTTTCCCTGGGATCTATTTGTAGTACTAATCCTTAATATAATAAAAAATATCATGATTACTCATAAGACACAAAGTCAGAACAGTAGAATTTCCTTTCATAATCTGAATGGAATAATGAATACTTCTCTACCTGTGATCTAAGAATTTGAAGTATATGTATGCATATCCATTTGTTTCCAGGCATGTTCTGATCTCATTCATAATCACAGCCTCAATATTAGAAAACAAAGATATATAGTCTCCTCTTCATTAACTAAGCTCTTCTCCATTCTGTTCTCAAAAAGCTCCATAATGATAGCAGGTTCTAATTGGTTGTTACTCAATAATTCATACACACAGGCATTGTTTCATGTGGTCTGGAGATATAAAGCTGGATGAGAATGAAATTTTTAATGCAAATAGAATTTTCTCAAAAAGGAATAATACTAACATGACTTCTATAGGGACCAGTGAGACAGTAAGACATGGTTGACATGAGCAAAAATCGACCGAGGTCTTGAAGAATGGTAATGTGTTTATGGAAATGGGAAAAAGGCATTAGAAAGAGATGCAGGAGCGACTTGTACCAAGGTACCATGTTGGTGGAACCTAACTGTGTCACCTTGATTGGCTTGGGAGCCACCTTCAGGATTAGTAAAGCACACTTCTGGTGTGTCAGGGAGTCACAGCAGTGGGACCTTGGGTACTATATGTGGTCCTTCTCATCTTTCTCCTTGGTGATGTTTGTCTGCTCAGCTTTGCAACCACCATGGCCTAAGCTGCTTTGCTCCACCACACCCTTCTGCCATGATGCCTGCTGACCATGGACTGCACCCTCTGAGCTAGATTGAACCTTTCCTTTAATGTGTGAGTGTGAGGCGTTGTGGACACCTGACCAACACCAATGAGGGCTGGGCAAAGCTCCATGCCATGTGTACTATGATTTCCGCAACCTTTCTATAAACATCTGGGCCTTTAAAAATTAAACAAGCTCTTGTGGGGCCAGCAGTGTGTTCCTGTGGGTAGGCTGATGGGCTAGAGTTGGAGCTGAGACTGTGGCCTCCCTTCTCATTGTGCAGCTCAATCTTCCCTCCCTCCCCACTCTTTTCCAATTCCTTTCCTTCTGCCACACATGAAGGCAGGGGTGGAGGCGGGTGCTATTGGGAAGAAGTTGCTTGGTGATGTTGGATGCAGTGCCTTCCGCTGTACATGCACTTGAAACTGAAAGCCCTATGGCTGCAGAAGAGTGACATGAGCTCCTCATGGCTCACGAGCCCTGCTACCTCTGTCTGTGGTGTTTTGCCATCAGGCTCTTGAGGCTGGGCCTCTGTGTTGCTCACTTGCATGGTTCCTTCCCAAGACCCACAAAGAACCCTAAGCGACGGGTTCTCCTGGCCTAACATCATGGTAAATTTTGCAAAGTAAAGCATTTAGCTCCCACTGGTTAAAATAGGGCATCTCCACATTTTAAAAAATGATCATCCCTCCAACAAGCCCTTTTAGATATATTTTTCCTAATTGTTTCCCGGTAAATTTTAATACCATCCCTGGACTAACTGTTGATTTACATATTATGTATTTATTTATGATTGATATATTTTTTAAAGTGTGATTTTTCTATCACCTCACCCCTCAAGAATCTGTGTTTGCGTCCTTGAGGTGACATTGCCCATGGAGAAAGCACAGATTAAGCCTGTCCTACCCTTCTGCTCCGATTTCCTTCCACCCTCCTCCTCATATCGGGTGGTTTTGGAGTGGATACAAGTATGTGGGAAGCTGGCTAAGATGAGCTCGAGTGAGGAAAATACTTATCTTGGACTTAATGAGATCTATTTAGGTAGTTTGGAGTTACTTCCACATACAGTTAAATTCTTGCTAACGAGCCCAGTGTAGGCATCACCTCCAACCACACTCACACCACTTACGGTGCAAATTTGTCTGAAGTCCTGATGTGAAAGTGCTGGGCTGGAGGTCGGATCATCATCTGAATGTGTCCTGGGTCACCCAGCACAGAAAGCTGTGGGTTGTGGAAAAGAAATAGTGTTTGAAAACACAGAGCTAGGCCCAGAGCTAGGCTCTGGGAAGTTTTATCCGAATTTAATAATTTAGGTATAAATAAAAAGGCCTGTACAGGGTATTCCCAAATATGATAATATTTTAAGTTTCTTACATTGATAGCAAATAGCTAAGTTGAAGGCTATTCTGATATTTAGCGATACAGACAAAATTCAGACTTCTGTACAAGCTGTGAGGGACTGGCTTGCATTAGGTTAGTCATTCTCCTACATGTGATTCCCTGGGTCAAAAAAATTAGACACATATTTGAAATCACGAGAAAGCTACCAAATATGAAAAGAGTTTGGGGCCATGAAGAAGCAGAAGGGAATCGCCACGCAGTAAGCTAGGCACTGTGCATTCCCTTCCTCCCTCAGATGTCTGTTCACCAGTTTCTAAATCAAGTCAGCAGGCTAAGAGACTAAGGGGTATGAGTAGAAAGTTGCTCCAACTGAATCGATATTTGAGGCCTGACACAGAAGGATTCCCCCGGGAAAATGTCCCGTATTTTTAGTTAGAACTCCAGAAATTTTGAAAACTTAAAGATTTTCATTTGTTTGGATTTTCAAACAGGGTCTTGCTATGTAGCCCAGGGTGACCCTGAACTCACAGTGATCCTTCTACCTCAGCCTCCTGAGGGCTGGGAGTTATAGGAGTACACCACTGCACCTGGCTTCTATCACCAATTCTAATGAACATTTTGCTTGAGGTTCTTGCCAGAACAAAAATGCAGGAAACATAAATCATCTTCATAAAGGGCCAAGGATTTAGCTCAGTGGTTTCGCCACCTGCTGTACAAGCTCAAGGACCCGAGTTCGATTCCCCAGTACCAAAAAACAATAATAATAATAATCTTCATAAATATAGGAAATAAAAGAATGAGTGAGTCATTATTAACAGAGGATTTATTACATACCTAGAAAATACAAAAACTCTACAAATAAACTATTTATATTAATAAATTGTTGAATATCAACATACAAAATCAGTTTTGCTCCTACATAAAAATAATTCAAAAATGAAGTTAAAGCAATACTAATTATCATAATATCAAAATTATCACATACATAGGAATAAATTGAATGAAAATTGTACTTGCCCTCCACAACAAACAAAACATAGTGATAATGAAATAAAGTATACCTAGTGTAACAGAGGTAAAAATACTTCTCAAATTGATCTAATTTCAATACCATTTATGTCAAAATTTCAAAGTATTCTTTTGGAAACTAATGAGCCAACTCAAAAATTATGTGTAAACTAAAAGGACTAAGAATACACAATATAATTGCTAAAAATAAAAATAAACCTGGAAAACATAAATCTCTGAATTTAAATATTTATTATAAAACCAGCCAATGTTGAGATAGACAAATAAATCAATGGAAAAAACAGCATAAAAACAGACTACTGTATTAAGTTTGCTTTATGCAGGGTGCTGCTGTATTTTCCAAGAGGAAATCATGAGTATCAATAAATTGTACTGGATTGATTGGATATTAATGGTAACAATAATAATCTTGACCTCATACTTAGAACTCTATCTAAAATCAGTGGTTTGTAAGTCTAAATTTTGTGATAAAATCAAATATGATAGATCTAAATTTGGAAGGTAAAGAATGCGTATAAAAATTAATATAGAGCTCCGTGTTTTTTATTGTTGATCAAAAAGTAGGCACGATTTTCTAAGCCAGACAAGAAAAGGACTTACCGTAAAGAAGGTCAATCAAAGGACCTGCCATTCATTAAAAGACGTTTATTACAGAACAGACAACCACAGAACTGGTTATGTGCTACGTGTATATCCAATACAGAACCTATATCCAAAACATACAAGGAGATCATAGAAATCAATAGTAAAGAATAGATAATCCCCCAAAATGTCACTTTTCATTGTTTTATTTCCATCAGTTAAATTTAATAAGTTTTGATTAACTGCTAGAGAAAAGACTTTTCTGTCTATTATTAATCCTCCATCCTTTCTTTAAAATGTTATTACAGAGTTGTGGGCAAATAAACCCACAACTCACAATGAATGCAGCCAAAAAACAAGAGGCCAATAATTATTTTTAAAAAGCATTATAGAGGCACAAAAATTCATTCATTCATTCAGATATTATTACCATTGTTAGTGAATTGTGTAAGGTGATATTTGTCTACTTTAAAAATTTTAGCGACTTTCTTATGATGCATCATTTTTACAGCCACTTCTCCGTTTGTTAATTTTGTATTATTTTTCTTAAAGTGGGCCCTGAAAATTGTCTCAGCTTCAGATAAAATGCATTATGGACCTGCCACTGGCTGTGTCAATTTAACTACTGGTTGAAGGGGATGCAAAGGTGTAGTGAGAAAGTGAGTGTTTGACTCCCAAGATTTCTGCCATCAATCACTGTGTCAAATGAGGCTAAGATCTGTGCAGTGTCGTAGACAAAGCAGAAGTGGAGAGGAACAAGTCCAGATCTGAAGAATTTCATTTTCCAATGCGTTGTCCTAGATGTGGCTCTTTTGTGGATTCACATGTGTCAAGCTGATGCAAGTCTCCAACTAAAAGGATTGGGAGTTGAAGATCTTGTGCCAAGTTTTAATCCTCTCATAGAATATGACCAAGTGACTCAGAGAAGTAGTAGGTGACAGAAACAGGGCAAGGTGAAGTCTTTAATGCGAATGGCAGAGGTTCAAAGTGGATGGATGACTTTCCCAAAATGTTGAA